AATATGGGGAACAACCACTTGGCCAACTGACTGGAAGAGATCTATCTTTGTTCCCATTCCAAAGAAGGGTGACCCAACAGAGTGTGGAAACTACAGAATAGTGTCATTGATTTCACATGCAAGCAAGATTCTACTGAAGATTATCCAAAAATGACTGGAATAGCACATCAGCAAGGAACTGCCAGAAGGCCAGGCTGGGTTTAGAAGGGGTCGTGGTACTAGGGATACTATATAGCTGATGTTAGAACAGATCATTTGAAAGATTCAACTTTAGAGGACGAATCTGGCATCAGGATTAGAAGACTCATCAACAACCTGTGATATGCAAATGAAACAACCTGCATTATGCAAATGACACAGCCTTGCTTGCTGAAACTGAGGAGAACCTGAAACATTTTCTGCAGAAGGTCAAGAATTTAGTCTTCAATATGGATTGAAGCTCAACATCAAGAAGACAAAGATTCTCACCACTGGGCCAATTTGCAGCATCATGATAGATGGAGAAGAGATTGAGGTTGTTACCAGTTTCAGCTTGCTTGGCTCCACAATCAACACTCTTGGCATTAGCAGTCAGGAAATCAAAAGACAAATTCCAATGAGGAGTCTCCTGTCCGGGACCCCACCAAAGCGCTAAAGAGCAATGATGTCAGTCATTGTTGTGATTATAGTCATATTAAAATTAAAAGAGATTTTACCAATCACTTTCTTTTGATACTCTGCCAAATATTCAACAGTTACAACAAGATATTGGGAGGGAATGCATATAAATAGATAACTACAGTGTAATAATAAGTTAAGTGTAATAATAGTGGTGTGAACAAACTGTTCAGAAAATATAAATGAAGGTAGGAGTTTCCAAAATATAAAGTTCAGGTTGTGTTGATAGGTACTCAATAATTCTTTGGTTTGTGGATTGTTTTTTTGTTTGTTTGTTTAGTTTGTTGGGTTTTTTTATCAAATGACAGAAATCCTCACAGAGAAATTTTAATCATGTAATGTGGTAAGAATTTGCCAGGTAAAAAGCGTCAGAACTGTTTCTCAAGCAGAGAGAACATTTTTACAGACACAGTTATATATGAGATATTTATTTTAAGGAAATGGCTCATGTGCTTGTTTGTTTGTTGTTGTTAGGTGACATTGGGTCAACAATGACTCATAACAACTCTGAACAACATATCTGAACCTTGTCTACTGCCCCATTCTCACAGTCTTTGAGAGATACTTGAGCCCATTGTTACAGTCACTGTGTCAATCCGTTTTATTGAAGGTCTTACTCTCTCTCTTTCTCTCATCCTCTACTTTTGCCATTATGATGTTTTTTTCCCAAGGATGGTCTTTCCTGGCAATATACCCAATGTATGTAAGACCAAGTTTCACCTCCGTGCTCTAAAGAGCACCCTGGTTGACATCCTCCAAGGCAGAGTTGTTCTTTTGGCAGTCCATGTTATATTCAATACTCTTCTCTAACATCATAGTTCAAAGACATTGATTCTTCTTCTGTTCATTCTTACTCATTGTCCAACTTAAAGATGTATAGGTAGCAATTGAAAATGCCATGGCTTGGGTCAGGTATTCCTTAGTCTTTAAAATGACATCACTCTTTAGCACATTGGAGTAGTCCTTGACAGCACATTTTCCCGATGCAACACATCTTCTGCTTTCTTAACTGATGTTCTTACGGGTATTGATTGTGGATCCAGTGAATATATATCCTTAACAACTTGAATGTTTTCTCCGACTATAAAAATGTTGCCAAATGGGGGGGAGGGGGGAGGAGTTTGTGCGGGGAGAAGGGTGCAACAATGAATGAATGGAATCCCAAAATCTCTGTAGATGTTCATTGAAATGAAAAATAAACAACCTAAATTAAAAAAAAAATGTTGCCCGTAGGTCCAGTGGTAAGGATTTTTGTTTTCTTGATGTTGGAATGTAATCCATATTGAAGACTGTAGTCTTTGATCTTCAACAAGTGTTTCCTCTTCAATTTCTGTAAGGAAGGTTGTGTCATTTGGATATCAGAAATTGTTTATGAGTCTTCCTCCAATCCTCATGCCACATATTTCCTCATATAGTCCAGCTTCTGGAATTACTTGCTCAGCATAAACATTGAATAGAGAACTCTCGTGGCCTAGTATGTAAGAGTTATGCTGCAACCCAAAGCTAAGGGGATTGAATCCACAAGGTGCTCAGAGAGAGGAAGATGGACTCTCTCATCCTGCCTGGTTAATATCCTTTGAAAACCTGCTAGAGGGTCAGCTGTTAATTGATAATAATACCGTGGCTTATATACACAGACACATTGACTAGGTATGGAGAAAGGATACAACCCGGATGCACACTTTCCTTGATTTTAAATCATGCAGTGATCCCTTGTTTTATTTGGACAGCTGCTTTTTGGTCTGTGTCTGTGTTTTCCATGAGTCAAATTAAGTATTTGAGGATTCCCATTTTTCTCATTATTGGATCTAATTTGTTATGATTTACATAGGCAAATGCCTTTGCATAATCAATGAAACACAAGAAAATGTCTATCAGATATTCTGTTATTTAGCCAAGATGTATCTAACGTAAGCAGTGATATCCCTCATGCCATGACCACTTCTCAATCTACCTTTAATTTCCCTGTCAGTGTACTCTTTCAGCTTTTTAAAAATAATCTTCAGCAAGACCTTACTTGCATATGATATTAATGATACTGTTTGATAATTCTGAAACTTGAACTACAAAGTAGGTCAAAACAAAGGGAAGAAATGCTGCAATAAACAAATCCCTATGCACATCCAAAAACTTCTCTAACAGGGTAAAAAGGGAAGCCACAGACTGGGAAAAAATATTTGGTAATGACATGTCTGGTAAGGGACTTATACCTAGAATTTAAAGACTACTTGAGCACCACAACAAGATGAAGGTAAACAACCCAATTGCAAAATGGGCATAGGAAATGGACACTTCACCAAAGAAGACATTCAGATGGCAAACAAGCATATGAAGAAGTGCTCAAAATCTTTTATGTCTAAGAGAGATGCACATCAAAAAAACTATGAGATATCATCTCACCCCAGTAGCAATACCAAAATTCAACAGAGCAGCACACAACAAATGCTGGCAAGGTTGCAGAGAAACTGGAACACTTATTCGCTGTTGGTGGGAGTATAAAATGATGTAACCACTATGGAAGGCAGTATAGTGCTTTCTCAAAAAGTTGTATATAGAAATACCATTTGACCCAGCAATTCCTCTACTGGGAATATACTCCAAAGAGACCATAACTGACATCCAAGCAGATATATGCACACCCATGTTTATTGCGGCTTTGTTCACAATAGCAAAGAGTTGGAAACAACCCAAATGCCCATCAACAAACAAATGGATAGAGAAACTGTGATATATTCACACAATGGAATACTATGCTGCATTGAAAAACAAGAAACTCATGCAATATTATTCAATATTATTCTGGAGGACATTATGCTGAGTGAAATATTTCAGTCACAAAAAGACAAACACTGTATAGTGCCACTATGTAAAATGGGACTGCCATCAGGGTTGGGGGAAACTTAAGAAAAGAGGGGATAAATAATGTATACTATATTGAAACAGATGAGGGAGAGAACTGTTTAAAAGGAATATATAATTAGGTATTATTTTTATGACAAGAGTCCAGAATAAGAGCTGCATAGTAAAGTGGACTTGGTGGGTGGGGGGAGGATTGTATAAAAATGAAAGAATTTTTTTTCTTCAAAGAGAAAAGCGAACTGGGGTAGAGGGATGGGTAAGGAGGAAAGTGTGCAACAGTGTATGAATGGAAATCCAGAGTCTCTGTACATTTTCATTAAAATAAAAAAAATGCTGAAATAAGAGAACAGAAGATTTCAAAAGGCTGCTTGAGAAGACTAACAAAACCAAAACTGTAATAAAATATGCAGAGAG